CCACCTCGAATGCTCCATGAATCAATTGTTCTGAGTTCTCCTTATGCTTCATCTCTCGCGTTCTCTCCACGCAATCTTGTCTCGTTACTGTTACAGGTCAGAAAAGAAATTAGAAGCGATTTTGGCTTCGTGGCCAGTGAACATATAGGGACGTACACCATCTTGACTTCAGCATTTAGGTCATTAGTTGGCGAATTGATGCATGTTACGCACTCCTGTAGCATTTTCAGTTTTATCCTACTTGGGCTGGGATGAGAACACATTGTTCATGGATGTTTGTCCAGTCTTTCTGCAATCTTTGTTCCAAGTTCTTGCAAGTTAAACCATGGTAGCTATAAGGCCTGGGTCAGCAGCTGGGTGGGTTTTTAATAAAACAGTATCGTTTTGGATAATCATTGGCGGGTTCTCATCCGAGTTTACATTGGGTAATGGGTATTGAAGTTGGTTGGATTAAGCTCCTCTCACACGAAGATTTCAACAAGATGAAGAAGATTCAGGAACAATCTGCTCAATTACTTCAATACAAGTAGCGTTGACTGACAACTTGAACGGATGCTAAAACTTGTAAGACAAGAAGCTACGACAACAACAGATAAGAGTGGCTTGGTTAGACCTGGAAAAGATCATCATCAATGAATCAACTTACTCCATACAGTCTGCTGTCATTGCCTTGAATGCAGCCAGATGGGCACGATTATTACCACCAAATTTTTTCACTGTTAGATCGCCGCCTACCGAATTCTTAGCTAACATTCAACCTCCATTCACTCATCTAATGGTAGAGTCTTTTTTAGGTAGAAGGTCATGCAGAAGTTCACAAGCAATCTTCAGTTTGATACATTCAATCCAGAGCGCCACGAGGCCATCAATGAAGTTGCTATATATTTCTGTCGAGGGTCCTCAGAGCAACCTATATTAAAACCTTAAACAGAAATTGATAAACCATGGAGACATGGGCTCTTGTTTCAGTATGGAGTTATAATTTCTACACAATGCATTCAGCTATTAACATCACTCTTAAGTCCTGTCTCCTTTTGCAGTGCGTTCTCCATTTTGCCCCAACTAGTTTTGAAATCTTGGTTAAAAAAAAGAAAGTATAATTTATAGTTTTTCTTAAATTTATTTTTCAAACTGCAATCATCGTAAAAAACTTTAGTAATGCCAAACACACACTAAATCTAATAATAGCTAGCGATGCCTTCTTTCTACCAAATCGGCAAATTAAAATGCAGTGGATTTGGAAACAAATTCTCAGCAAGAAAAGGAGAGTGAGACTTTTAGATCACTACGCTGCCATGGGAAGAGATATTGAGGCCTGGCTTGTTTTGATTTTCTTTCGTGTAGCATTTCTTGCACGCTGAGGTAGCAAGAAACTTGGGAATGACAGAAGAGGTCTGCAATCCTCAGACTTTCCTAGGAGGTATTTTGGGCCCCGGCCGGAGATGAGGCTGGCCACTTAAGGGCTGTCTGGGGGCTGGGGGGACTGTGCTGTGACGGTATTCCAGGCTGGGGCTACATAAGGCGGAGCTGGATGAAGCAGAAGATATGCTGGTTTACTATTGTAGTTTCGGTTATGGTTTAAAATGTTTTTTATTTAAAAATATATTAAAATAATATTTTTTATTTTTTAAAAATTATTTTTTATATCAATACATTAAAATATATAAAAAATATTTTTTAATAAAAAAATTCAAATTTAAAAAATAGGGGTTGCATTCATTCCCAAATACACTGGAATATGAGGAAGGTGCCGAGAATGGCAAGTTTCCTGCATGTTATGGGGGTGCCATTGGTCAAACCCCATGAAAGCATGCCTTTTATTCACTGTTATGAGGGCATCAATAAAATATAGTATAGACCAAATATTTTGAAGTGTGTTTTTTACTGTGAATATGTTGTTTTTAGAAGTGTTTTTTTTATAAAAAAAAATTACAATTTTTATTTTATTTTAAAATTTAATTTATAAAAAAATCTATGAATCAAAAAATTTAATAATTTTTAAATAAATAAAAATTAAAAATACTTTTAAAAACAAAAACCATCCCAATTTACCGATTAATTTTGAGTGATGATACACGCGAGTTGAGACTACCACATGAAGATCGCAGGAGCAATAATTCATGGTGGCCGCATTTGCTACTGCAGCAGATTCTTTTAGTAAGTATCGTACAGGATTTTGCTGTTGCAAAGCCTGAATGATGCCGGTGGCTGTACGGAAAAATCTACGCCGCCACAATACTGCTAAACACACGCCAAATGTAAGGTTGTTTGGTTTGACTTTATTCTTTGATTTTATTCTTGGAGCACTTGGACTTTCAAGTAGTGTGTAGTTAACACTAGATCGTTAATATTAAACATGTTATGTTGTAGGAATGATTAATTTTTTTTACATAGAATAATATATATATATATATATATATGACTTGATTGAGTTGAAAAATTTAATTATAATTTGAATAATTAATAAAAGTGTAGTTTGATTAAAAAAATCAAAATGATATTTTTAAAAATTATTGCAATGATAACTTATTGGATTGATTCGATTTAACTTGGGTTAACTTGTTAAATTCGTTACTCAAGTCATGAAACCCTGATAACCTTATAAAAAAAATAATGAGACCCTGATAACCTTATAAAAAAAATAATTTTTTTATTAAACTCAATTCTTAATTAGTCTAATGTTGAAGGATGAAATAAAAAAAAAATACACTATAAAATTAAGCCGAGTCAATTAGGGACTAGGATTAACCTACCAAATCTAAGTTGTGAGACTAAGATAATTACATATAAAAAAATAAAAAAATAATCATGAAACTCAATTTTTAATCAACCCAATATTGAAAGATGAAATAAAAAAATCAATTAAAAATAATATAAAAAACCACCCAAGTTAATTAACCATGATTCAAGTCATGAAATCGAGATAACCTTATAGAATACAAACCAAAACAAATTATGAAGTCTAATTCCTAATCAACTCAATAATAAATAATCAAGTTGAAAAAAATTACAAAAAAAAACATGAGCAAACGAGTCTAACCTACGACTCAGGTTATAAGATCATGACAACCATATAAAAAGATAAAAAATTATAAAGTTCAATTCCTAATCAACCTAATTTTAAATGATAAAATTAAAAAAAAATTAAGTCAATTTGGCTAGAAAATTAAAAAAAAATTAATTAAAAAAAATTAAGTCAATTTGACTAATTCACAAAACTCACGATTCGAAGTATGAGACTGTGGTAGTCTTATAGAAAAAAAATTAAAAAAAAATTATGATTCTCAATTAACTCAATGCTGAAGGATGGTGTTGAGAAAAAATAATACAAAAATAACTCAAGTCGACATAACTAAATATAAAAACTTGCAACCTAGGTTATGCAGCTGAGATACCTTCACAAAAAGTAAATTGAGATAAGTTATAAATTTTAATACCCAATAAATTTAAAGGATAAAATTAAAAATTAAAAATCCTTAAGAATTATGAGGATCAAAATGAAAAAATATCCTTGATATTTTACTGTTTATTGCTACAATAACATGTTAAAATCTTTTAATATATATTAATTATGGTGTTTAGTTAATATCTTACATATATAAGACTCATATAATTATAATAGAGATGATACATCCATCTCTTTTTCTAATAAAAAATTATTTCAAAACTAACCAAGATAATTTTATTTTTAGGTACTGATCTCTCAAATTAAATATCCTTTTATCTTTTCTACATGTCTCTTCAATGCAACCTTAATCTTAGATGGATATATGGTTTCATGGATGGGAAATTGCATCATAGGTTATTGTTCTTTGTTAAATTTATATTTTTTTAAATTATTCTTTAATTTAATATAACTCATTACCTGAACATAGAATGATTTCTGCATATTTTTGTTTTGTTTAGTTTGCTTTTTTGTGATGTTCCTTTAGCAATTCATGCAATTTTTTTAATATTATCATGTAACCTTTTACAATAAAAATAAAATTTGAATCGTCTCAAAAGTTTTTTTTATAATGAAGAATATCTAAGTTAAAGTGATGTCTCCAGCCTTTTCTTTTTCCTATATGATATCAATGTCTCACGTACTTTTGTTATCAATGTCTCACGTACTTTTGTTGATTGGAGCTATTATTTACTCAATTTTAGAGTTTAATTAATTTTAAAGGGCATTTAAAAGTATGATACCAATTATTTTTTAAATTGTTTTTCATTTCAAAATATATTAAAATAATATTTTTTATTTTTAAAAAATTATTTTGATAACAGCATATCAAAATATAAAAAAATATTAATTTTAAAAAATTAAAATTAATTTTTTTTCCAAAACATCACACCAAACATTGCCTAATTAGATTCTTAAAAATCAAGGTAGCAACTCAAGTACCATGTTTTTTTTATTGGTAGCAACTCAAGTACCATGTTTTTTTTTATTATTATTATTTCTTTAGAAACACTACAATTATTTGAGCATCTTGGGCGCCGACAGCTAGCACCGGTAACAAATCTTAGTCAATCCTATTCTACCTGTAAAGAGCGAGTCTAGCATGGCCTTTTCACTTCGCAATTCTTGTTTACTTTTTTTCTCGACCTTTGCTTCCTTTCCTTACACAACCACTATAATTGATGATTTCAATTCACGTGGGAGTTCATAAAATAAAATTGTCCTCATATAAAGACAAAAAGGTAGCAGTGCTTCAACGTTCAGCTTGAAACCGTGACTTCGTGGATACACTCCCAATGAATGATTTGTGTGTTTGGGATTATAATCAGGAGAGTTTTTTAAATAATTTTTTGTTTTAAAATGTATTAAAGTAATTTTATTTTAATTTTTTTAATACATCAAGAATTACAGAAAATACTAGGAAAAAAACACGTTCCCATGTTTTTTCAAGTTAAAAGCTCTAAAATACAGAAACAATCGCGTCTCTAGACTACATTACTACGACAGCAAATTGCTGGGACTCACGAACCGTCCCCCCCTACATGGATGCTTGTGGATATCAATGTAATATCTATAACTTTTATAGCATAGGACTTAAATATTCAATTTACTTCCTAAATGTCACAAAATCTCCATTGCCATCTTGCGCTGCGCAATCTCAGCCAACACAGCAAAGGAAAACAGACTGATGATCCAGCATATAAGCATCCATTAAACATAAATTTTATTCCAATAACACCCACTATTGACACAGAGCATTGTTAATTTTGAGCCGCACAATAAGTTTGATAAATTCCTTCATGCGAAAAATTAGGATCCACCGAAAGGCTATAACCATTGTTCCATCTCTCCTTTGATTTAACCCTGTTGCAGTAGAGGGAGAGAAAGGTTATGGATGTTTAGACATAAGGTAAACTGAACTACTTCAAAATCTCAAAGCAAACATCATCTTTATCTCATGGAAAACACATGCTCAGTAAATTTGCATCATAGTTTGAATTGACGGGATTGAGGAAGTTGCATTTCAATAAATATGTGATGTTAATGAGCCTCAAATCTCTCATTTTCCATTTTGACAGTAGTATTTTGCCAGGAATGCCCTCGGCAATTAAAATCAGGAGCACCATTACGCTTTTGAAACCTATAAGCTTGAAGTGAAGGTGCATATGCATGTTCGTGGATCTGTACCAATAGATATTGCATCTCTTCCCTGTTACTTCAACTTCTTTACCGACCACCAGAGGAAATAATGCAATGCAGCAAACTTACATAAACAGTAATTGAATGTGAGCATCAAAATCAACTGGTTGCTGGGAGGAACACTCTAATAAGCTCTTTAGTAGTGACTCTTTTCCTACAAGTAGGGCATTTGGCCTGTCTTTTGATTGCGTCTGATATGCAAGTCTTACAGAAAATGTGTCCGCATTTTGTTGACATCTCCTCGACCAATGGACACAAGCAAATCGGGCAGTTGAAGGTTGGCTCCTTTGGCGGCAGGGTCTGCACGTTCTCCCTCTGGCCAAAAAGTAAAACAGTAAGCATCAGAGTTTCAAAATTCCATTAATCGAAACATGTGTGCATTAAATGCCTATGCAGGCACATCAGCACACATGCACAAAAGAAAAAAAAAAACAAAGAGAGACCATTGATCATTATTCCAATATTATTCTTTTATATCTCCACTGTAACTCTAAAATCTAAACAAAATCACAACTTGATCAATTATTCCAATATTATTCTTTTATATCTCCACTGTAACTCTAAAATCAAAACAAAATTACAAATATTAAAAGGCATCCAAGGTCCAGAATACCTAGAATAGCAATCAGAATAATCTCCTAGCATGAGTGCAAAGGGAGTTAATTGTTAAGCACCTAAAAGCAGTGCGTATGTATCAAACTCCGACCGCGCAGACATAAAAAGCCATTAAGAGATCCTTAAGATTATTGAAAACGGTTGCATTACTTGCAACATCTCGAGTCATTTATCAATAGGAACAGGAACTACTATACGAGCGGGAGAGCAGCTATGAAGGCACATTACCTTAGAGCTACTGCTGCTACTTCCGCCTTCCAAGTTGATATAAAGATCACAATTGATGATCGTTTGATTCGGCGGAACCCTTCTACGCTTATTGTGAGTGAATCGCCCTACAGTACACACAAACAAACAATAAGAAACACATGTGCACTATAAAAAAACACAAAGCAACGATTCCATTAACAGAATACACCCACCACCCGACTCTACATCAACGACCACAGCCCTCCGGGAATTGTTCTTAGCCTGAAATTAAATAATAATAATAATAATAGTAATAATATTAATAATATTAATAATAATAGTAAGAAAGTAACAAACTTTCTCTCAAGTTCAATCGAAGAGAAAGTACCTGAGCAAACGCTCTGGGCGACGATTCGATGACGTCGTCGTCGTCGTCGATAGCATCAACATCAATAGTAGGAGGCGGCAAAGACGGTCCTTGTCCGTTTCGTTGATGGCTTGCTTGCACTCCTTCAGGAGGTTCAATGCGGGTGGTCGAAGTCCCTTCGTCATCTCTTCCTTCAATCGGAGGAACGTTTAAGTCCAGCACGGTCTTCCTTCGCCGGTATCCTCTTAAAGGAGGACTCTTCACGCCCTGAGTCTGGCCGCTCATGCTCGATCAACAAGCTTCGATCGTACAAAAAACCACAGCTCGCAAACGATTGAGAGAAATTAGGGGGAAATCGAAGGGAAAGCAATCCGATCAAATCGAATTAGAGAGAATAGAAGTCGAAATTTAAATTGGGAGGTGTTTATTAGGGTTTTGAAAAATAGGGATGAAGAGGAGAGAGATTGATATGTGAGAGACTGTTTGTTGAAGAAGGTAAACAAGAGGCGCTGCTAATAAGGGAGAGGGAGAGGGAGAGGGAGAGCAGGTGCGTCATGGTAGTCGTCTGGGTCTTTGACACGGAGGTCGGTGAAGGGGTTGAGGATGTGCGATCGTGGCCCATTCGTCAGCTGCTACGTGTATGCTATTCGACGTGACATCAGAAAAAAAAAAATTGCTTCGGGCCTTGCTGGAAACCCGGGTCCAATTCGGGCTCAAGTTTGGATTAAAAATTTAATTTAATTAATTTTAAAATTTTAAAATTAAATTTAACTAAGTGGAATTAAATTAATTAGTTTGGTTTTATATTTGTTAAAATAAATTAAATATAATTTTAATTAATAAGTCTTTTTTGTAGCTATTTTTGACGAACTTTTAATTTTGCTATTTCTGAAAATATTTACATAAACAATCAATTAAGATCCAAATTACTTTTGTTTTTTTGGTTTTCAAGATTTAAAATAAAAATCAAATTAAAATACTTATTCTTTATTTTTAATATAAATAATCAAATAAATTTTGATTTTTAACAAAACAAAACTAAAAATATGTTATTGTATAGCTCAAAGGATTTTTTTCAAATAAATAATATCATTATGTCAATTTAAATTAAATTTTTTTTCTCAAGAGACATGTGATATCATAAGAGAACATAACACACAATTAGAATACTTGTCATATTAGAGAATAATATAAATTATAGTTTAGGATTGAATTCTTACTTAACAACTTAAATTTTTGAGTTAAGATAATTTTTTAATATAGTATCAAAGTTTGATAACCAAATAATTATAAATTTGATCCGAAATTGAATAGATAAATTCTAATGAATCACTGATTCATCTAGTATCTAAATATATGATTCATTTAAAAATTTATTAGATCAAAAATTTATAATTTTAAAAAAATTTATAAATTTGCTTGTTCAACATATTTCTTGAGTGTTCAAGTTTATCTAAGACATTAAACAACTCGAAACATGGGCCTAGCTTATAGATACCTTAAAAAAAAAACATTGGAATACATATAATTTTTTGTTGACCAACAAAAACTCGTGATAAAAAAAGCTCAGGTTTTCAAATACGGATTTTTCTTCTCCAAGTATATATATTTTTATAGTAAAAACCTGACTGTCTCAGACTTTTACAAGAAGAATACGCTCTAATTCGAACTTGAGACTTATTATGCAGATCTCAAGCCTTTTACCATCACTTAGAGACTTTTTTAAGTACATAGTATCTTCATCACAAATTCTTTTCTTGGTTAACAATATTCAGAATTTTATCAATATTTACAGGTTTTTGATTTTTATTTTCCCTCATGGAGAAAATAAGATGATTAGGTAGTATACTAAACAATTTAGTGTAAATTTATATAAATATATTTTTAAATAAAAAATAATATAAATCATATCTTGTAATCTCATGATGATAACAATAAAATTATTTATATAAAAATAAATTGAGTCATATATATCCATTTTAATCCATATATTCTTATATCCATTTGCAACTTAATCTTTTTTCTCAATTATTTTTTCTTGTTTGAGAAATCAAAATAGAAAGGAAAGCTAGATAAGAAAAAAAACTGATAAGAAAAGATGTCATTCCTTGATTGAGGATGATGGTCAAGAGACTGTTTACTTATTTTTTATGATTAATTTCTTCCGTAAAATATAATGTCTAAGTAACTCACTAAATACAGTGTATTGGTAGCTATATGCATAAAAATTCAAATAACAGTTAAGATTTGCTCCCTTTTCATTTGCCTTAAATCATATTACTGGGTTGTGTAGTAAAGACAGCCTAGTTGATTATATGATTCAATGTTTTTCTTATTGTCTAGGCCTATTGTAAGTGTTCAAATGTCAACCTTCAAAGGCAAATTTCTGCTCAATGCACAAAGATGGGTGATAATAATCGTTGCAATTCATTTTCCTACACTTTTTTGGAGAGAAGACTGATCATGTGGTGGTCTACTTCCTTTTGTACATTGTTTAAAAACTTGTTTAAAACCTCGAAGCAGCATGCTAGATTGAAGAAAAAATAAAGAAATAAAGTTAACCAACCCAGTTTAAAACCCGACGGCTATCAACTCATTGAATTTTTTTTTTTGAATTTTCTAGGGTTAAAATGATGTTTTGATTATTTTACATATATAAAAAAATCTTTATTGACTCTTCCAACAGTTTACCTTACCCTATTCAAGTTTTAAAACTATGCCTTCATCATCAACAACTGTTTTCAGTAGGATGGCACTTGGTGACTTGTTTGAGACAGGGTTCAGATGAAGGCACAACCATCAGAGTCGAGCATTTTGCAAGCGTATAGCAATCTTGAAAATTTGCTGCATAGAGCTGGGAGGTTTACAAAGCCACACTTACATTAGGCAACAACAATCTGCAGTTTTCGAAGTACCACAAGATCATGATTCAAATGCTGCAACTGTTGAATAAACTCGATCAATGTTAGACCAGACAAATCGAAGTGTGCCCAGTACAGAAACTAATCACGAAAGGCGGTGTTCACCATATCAATCAAAGCTGAAACTACTTTGATCAATGTCAAATGATTCTTACTCCTTTTGAAGCATAGAGCCCTCCGCTGCGCAGACATAAACATCAGAAGAACCACCAAACACTAGCAAGACCGAGGGAAAACACCTCAACTTGGTAAAGATCTGATGGGAAGACAATGGAAGTCGGTCCATGTTGTTTGAAAAAGGTAATTATATAGGCAATTTAGAAGGACTTCTGCCAGCAAATGTCAGTTCTCATCAATCAAAAAATGAGTAATTCTGGCAGAAGTTGGTACAGTTACAAAGAAGACCGATGCAAGCACAAAGAAAAACATAATATCTAGATTCAAATAAAAGAATCTCTATGAGGTTCTTTATAGCCAAATATAATAGTGAAACTGGAAGCTAAATAACAGACTTCGGTGAAAATCATGTAATAGTAAAAACAATAAGGAATTAAGGAGGACTACATTTCCATTACACATTTTGTTTACTATCACAAAGTCCACACGAATAAAGAGGTTACTCCATGAAAGTGATCCTCCAAAGTATCTACAAGCTCCACAAACCTCATAATTTACCACAATTTGAAATGCCTCAGTTTCTGCCCCATGGAAAGCAGCAACACTGAAAAATAGGGCAAGAAGTTAGTGTTACATATATAAATGATATGATCCTCAAAAGAACAAGAGATTATGCACTTAGTAATAGACAGAGAGTCATGACATACCTTAGCGCTGTCACTTGGGGTTTGCTTACGAACATAGGCATGGGAAGACTCGGTAGGCATGCCAGGCATCTTCCCTTCCCCAATTTGCTTTTCCTCCCTCACTTTGTTGAAAATGTGAGTATAACCATCAGCTGATGATGGGTTATTCTCGTCCCAATCACCAAATTTCGGAACAGCAGCTCCCTTATCAGGCTGCCACACCAGGAATAACATAATCAAGAACAACTTTTGACAAAGATTTTATCAAGATCTCAATACTGAAAGGAAAAAAAAAAGACCAAGAAAGAAATTCTTCATTTTGGTTATGTTCACTAAAAATGGAGCTAAAATCAAGAGAAATGAGAAAAGCATCACATAAGAGCAGCTGAGAAAAGCAAGCTTGTCGTATTCATATTTCACAAGGAAAAGACTAAGCAATCAATAATGTAAGCTTGAGTGGAAAGACTTTGTTTACAGGTAACTTCTGATGGAGATAGGTGTTTGATTAGAAATAAGAAAAAAGGTTGCAAATGTAACAACAGACAAAAAAAAAGAAAAAAAAAAAGAAGCTGAACAAATCCACAAAAAGGAAGATGCATAGGGGAAAGGAGATAAAATTTACACTTTCATCGCCTTTTGGTCTCAGTCGGGATCTTCCAGGTGTTCCATGAATACCCTCGTTTGAATTTTTTCCTTCCCAGGAAGGTGATGGAGCTCCACTGTTTCTCCCAGAAATCCTGGCATGGTTATGGATTGGGGATTGCTCCATACTGTTTTCAGACCCAATACTGTATCTTGACGGTCGTTTATGGGCTTCACCAAAGCTTGGTCCCCGTCCCCCATAACGCTGAGGGGCTGACTCATAACTTGCTCTGCGGTTCAAATTTTCATTGCGTGCTGGAGAATTAGGGAACTGTTTCAGATCACTTTCTTCCCTGCTCATTCTATGCTCATGTGCTTGTCTAACAGCTCCCTGCCCTGCTGCTGCCTCTGGTGGAGCTTTGGCTCTAAAAGGAGGGGTTTGATCTGGAGCTGCATAATCAGAAACTAAATCAGGGTTCTCCTGGGGATCATTTGGATTTATCATCTTCCCTCCGGTTCGACCCTTCCTAGCCTTGTCAAAATAGGCCGTATATGGAACATTCTCTTCACTTTCCCAATTACCAAACTTTGGTACATGTGAACGTTGCTGAGAAAAAAAGAGAGATTGTTATACCAACTAGAAAGAAGAACCCTTGTGCAGGCAGCTAACTTTTCATCCATGAAAACATGCCACTCCATCATTAATGACACTTCCATGAAGTGGCAAATATCACACAGGTCACAGTTGGTGAATCCTAGTAGGCTAATCCGGAGGAATAATGAAGAGTTCTAAATATTCAAAGTCACTCCAAATATGAGTCAAGAAAGACTGTATAGCCATACAACATATACTTTATTTTCTCTATAATGCACAATCAGAGCACAGATCAGACAGTACTATTGAACCACAGAAAGTCCATGTAGTTAAAAAGTTTTTATACATCTCATGTCTGTAAACTTAAAAATGCATACCCAGTGACCTAGACAACTTCAAATTGCAGTCTGATGAAAGTTCCACACATATGTGTAATCTGAAAGCGAGCTTATATTTTGACTTTCTTGTCAATGAAAAAGGCGCGCAGGAAAAAGAGTATAAGATGAAAAGGAAAGAATCCACATGAAAAGAATAACATGCAGCTTTTTGCAATTTGGATACCTGGTTAGCGGGATATGTTCTCTAATCAAGAGGAAAAATATACCACAAATCAAGCTTCCAAAGAGGAAAGGAAACGAGGTACAAATCAAGGTTGCAAATAAGGTCTACAGGTTTCTCCTATTCTAACCATAAAACCTTCAGCTTGAACACTG